GTAGTGTTATGGAATGATACCTGGCGGACTAGAGTCGCCATCTCCTATGCCTAGCTATCTCTTTTTTCATGATACCTTTGTTCTATTGAAACAGAGCTTACCATTGGTGTGCATATACTTTTCCCCGCAGAGACTGTGACCACCAAGCTATGACGTCATAATGATCCGAATGTGCTGTTGTGCGCATGTGCTCAAGAGCAATGCCGTCAGTTGCGCATTATCACATCCAGTGAACATCACCACGCGTCATCTGGACGGCATTGCAGTTACAACGACGGAACCGACCAAAGACCCCGGCACTTTACGAAATTGAGCTACCATCCACACTATCCAAGCGGTTTGCAGCCTAGTTTCGATTCTAATGCTTGCAACTCTCGGGAGTGGGTTTGTATGCAGAATGCCGGAGATAATACAGCTGTCCAGGGTCCATGTCCGCGCATCATCACATTTGGTCATGATTTGTGATGTCGGTGCAAGCGTCACAATTATAGTGTGACTTTGGTAGTGCCGGAGATAACAAGCTATGACTTGAAGTGACTGGGTCTGATCACAGATTCAAAAGAGTTTATACCGATTTTCAGTCTCACATCCTTCCACATCTCCTAGCACTCCATCTGCTCAGTCTTTCTCACAATGGACCCCGTCAACCCTAACCAGAAAGTCCGAACAACTCCGCAGTGGGCATTGTACCAGCGTGACAACTTTTGGAAATCGAATGAAGGCGAAGTCCCAGTATTCAATACTGGTATGGTCACCTTGCCTTTGTGGCATCTTACTTCATTCATGCTAAGATATGTAATAGATCCCGGCAAACTTGAAGAGTTAGCAAAAGAAAAGCTTAGCCAAGGAGGCTGGTTCTATGCCTCCTCCAATGCTGGCCAATCGCGTACTCACACCGCCAATAGACAGGCTTTCTACCGACACCGGATCATTCCGCGTATGCTTGTTGATACCAATCAACGTGACACTGCAACCGAGATCTTTGGGCACAGAGTTCCTGCACCAATTGGATTTGCACCTGTCGGCATCAATAAGATCTACAACCCGCAAGGCGAGTTACCTGTAGCGAGATCTGCGGGAGCATTAGGACTTCCCTACTGCCTTTCAACAGCAGGTTCACAAAGCATAGAGGACGTCGGTCATGCTAATGACCAAGGCGTGAAGAATGGCCGAGGCGATGTCGGAACCGCTGCCGGTGGTGGTGAAAAGGGCCTCAGGTTTTTCCAGTTATATATGCCACATGATGATGAGCTCACTCGCTCGCTCCTACAGCGCGCAGTGGACAGTGGCTTTACGGCATGCATCCTTACAGTAGATACATGGCAACTCGGCTGGCGACACGACGATGTTGCAAACTCAAACTATGCTTTCTACCATGGCGTAGGCGCGGACCTGGGCTTGACTGACCCCGTGTTCCAAAAGAGATTGGAAGAGAAGGGCATTGATTCCACAGCCCAGCCCAACGAAGCCGGTGCGCTCTGGATTGACAATGTATGGCATGGACGCGCACACAGATGGGAAAAAGCTGTATGGGCAATGAAACTCTGGAAGGAGCTTAGCGGAGGCAAGCCATTCTCTTTGAAGGGTATTCAAAGTGTGAACGATGCCAAAAAGGCCGTTGAATTGGGTTTCGACGGCATCGTTGTAAGCAACCACGCTGGACGACAGGTTGATGGAGCAGTTGCAAGCTTAGATGCTTTGGAAAAGATTGCCGATGGTATACTTCCCAGATATCAGACTCTGTGACCTCCTTTGCTAACTCTTCATCAGCTGTTGGCGATAAAACATATATCATGTTTGACTCGGGCGTTCGCTCGGCTTCTGATGTTGTCAAGGCACTTGCTCTGGGTGCAAAGTTCGTTTTCGTTGGCCGGCTCTGGATTTGGGGTCTTGCCATTATGGGCGAGACCGGTGTCACCCATGTCATGAAGAGCTTGTTAGCAGACTTGGATATCTTGATGAATGTTGGTGGATTCAAGAATATTGGAGAGATAACAAGAGATGCACTGGATAGTGAGCCAAAGGGATACCAGCTGTTGCCGACAGCTAGTAAGCTCTAGAGCAAGAGTACGAGATTTGTTTATTTACCGCATATTTGCAGACGTATATATATTTCGCAAAACAAAGAGTTTGCATTTATTTCCCCAAAAGCACTCCCACATCACTCACATTTATTTAGCGGCTTGAAAACCTGTAGAAGTAACTGATGTATGTTAGCCAATGGGCCAGTGGGAGTGGTTACATGGCGCTAGGCCAGGAAAGGCTGACCGCCGTAGGGCTGGGAGATGGTCCAAGCACTCCCGAGCCACTCCAACTCAACTCCCACTCCCCTCAATGCGTAGCTTCCCCTCCGGTGACTGTAGACAATACACACAAACAGTATGTTTTGTATCGTCGCGATTCATTGATTTTGTCATATCCCGGAATTATTCGACCAGAGATCACTGCGACGCTACCTAAATCTACTTGTGTTGTTCGACATACAGACACGAGCCGGGCAGCCCAGAAATATCTCCGCGTTGACTGCTCATCATGTCAGTCATTCTCTGCACTGGTACGTGGAAGTGCTACGAAGCTCTGAAGAATAACACTAACTCCTTGAATAGCTGGTTACGACCACACTATTCGGTCCGTATACATTTGAACTCGCGTCGTTCGCAATCTATACTGACAGCTCAACGTCAGATTCTGGGAAGCGCTGTCTGGAATCTGCTCCCGCACCATTCCTCACCCAGACTCGCAAGTCAATCGTCTTTGCATATCGCCTGACAAGCGCTACCTCGCTGCTGCCGGCCATCACACTGTAAAGTTGTACGACATCAAATCGACCAACCCGAATGCGATCCTTACCTTTGACGGCCATACTTCGAACATTACCGGTGTCGCGTTTCACTGTGAATCCAAGTGGTTAGTCACTTCATCGGAAGATGGCACTGTTAAGATTTGGGATACACGGTCAGGCAATGTCCAGCGCAACTACACCCACGGTGTTCCGGTCAACGATGTGGTCATTCACCCAAACCAGGGAGAATTGATCAGTTGCGATCGCGGCGGCAACGTAAGGATCTGGGACCTCGGCGAGAACAAGTGCTCTCATCAGCTCATTCCCGAAGACGATGTCAGTGTCGCAAGCGTGACTGTTGCCAGCGATGGCAGCATGGTTTGTGCTGGAAATAACGCTGTGGGTTTGCCTATTTCTCAAAGAGCGGAAACCCTAGGAATGGATTCTGACAAGAGCAACAGGGCAATGTTTATGTCTGGCGAATGATTCAACGTAGCGACACTACATCTATCCTGCCTATTTGCAAGTTCGTCGCACACACTACTTACATCACTCGCGTTCTCCTCTCCCCCGATGTCCGCCATCTAGCCACTTGCTCCGCCGACCACACAGCCCGCATTTGGTCTGTTGATACCTCAGCTCCCCATAACGTCACGCCCAACGACAATCTCCCGTCGGCCAGCGAACGCGACCCTGCGGCTTTCCCGCTCGAGACTACACTACACGGCCACCAGAGATGGGTCTGGGATTGTGCCTTCTCGGCCGATAGCGCGTATCTGGTCACTGCCTGTTCCGACCACTATGCACGGTTGTGGGAACTAGGTAGTCAAAGCATTATTCGGCAATACAACGGACATCATCGCGGGGCTGTTTGTGTGGCCTTGAACGACACTGCTGTTGGTAATTAGGAATCACGACTTCACTCGGTAAGTAAGATTAGTGAATTATATATGCATGAATCCATGTATTTGCATCAGCGTTGGCGTTTTGGCGGGAAATGATACTCAGCAACGGGAAGGTAATTAGTCAAACATTAGATGGGCATCTATGGCGAAATAAAGAGGGGGGGGTTCTTAATCATCAAGGTCTGGGAAGTGATTATCAGGTCATATACACAGGTGTCTGTTTGAGCGGCACGCTGTATCATGGAGACGTGAGGATACAAATCATTGTTGCATAGTATACAGATGAAGATGGAAGGCTGACAAATGCAACGACGAAACATCGTTGTAGTCAGTACTTAGTGAATCATAACACTAATTTCCCTCTAGTTCGCTCCTTGAACAAATCTTTTCGCTCTTAATCGCATGATAAAATTGATCCCATTTACACCCAACGCCATGATCGCTATGCATGATTTCCCTTTACTCTTCTATCATAGAGATACAAAAGAACCATGACGACTGACTACTGGTAACAATAACACGAAGGGGGACGATTGACGTTCGCTGCCAAAACAACCAAAGAAAGAGAGACAAGGGAAAAAAACAAGCAAATACAACGCCTATACAAATGCCTCGGCTAATTTCCTCATACAAACACAGCAATCCTTGAGCATAACACGTAAAATTCTTTAATCCATAATTCATTTCCTGATGCCCCATAGGGTACTACCACCCACGACTCACCATTCATGACTCCTACTCTTCCTCTTCCCCCCTCCTGCCGCAACCGAAAACTATGGAACAGTAAACCAGTATCCGGTCCATTACAACGACACATCTTATTTGCGTATCAAAGCCGAGAACCAAGACGATAAGTTCTTGCCGGACACACTCAGGGTAGAAGAAGAAAGCGTGCTGGATGTTTCGTTGTGATGCTCTGCTACATCATCGCTTCTCATATTGGAGACCGGTACTCTGGCCTGAAGATACAGGGGCGCGTCGTCATGTTGGATAACAGTAGCAGTACTAGCACTGCGATAAGGCGGAAGAGGACAAGGAAACGGCGACGAGAGATTCGGCGAGGAAGAAGGAGAAGAAGAAGAAGAAGGGCAAGGTAAAAGTGTAGTTGTTGGTATAGTATCTAACATTCCTCCTGGCACGGAGGCTGGTGGTGGGTCTGGCAAGAATATGGGGTATCGGGGCGGCGCAGTGGTTTCGCTTCTTGCTCATCTCGTCATGGGGATACATGGCGAGGGATCGAAGCGTGACATAGTGGTAGAAGATAAAGGTATATGTGGAGGTGGAGGTGGAGGTAAGGACGCTCCTGGCGTCATAAGAAGATCTGAAGCCGTAGTCTCTGTATATCTCATCTGCATGGATAGCGGAACGTAATAGGGTTGCATGCAAGGCCAGGTTGAAGAGCGGCTTTGTGGCAGATCTAGAAACCCAGAGATATCAGCTCTTTGTGTAAGATACCTGAAAAGGTAGGGCTAAGAATGAAGATGGAAAGTAGCCATTGCCTAGGCGGGACCACCTTCATCTCTCTTAGCTTCCTCTGGGTTCTCTGGTGCAGCATCAGCTTCAGCCTGTCCGTTCTGTCCTTCAGCGCCATCTCCCTCAGGGGGGGCGGCAGCAGCGGCAGCGGCAGCAGCTGCAGCGGCCTCAGCTTCCCTCGCCTGCTTCTCTGCCTTTGCTCTTTGGCGTGCAGCCTCGCGCTCAAAGTTCTCCTTGCGGGCTCGCTCGTCCTTTGCTTTGCGCAGACGCTCTGTTTCTTCCACGCCACCACTCTTCTTCAGCTTTCCTTCTTCAACAAAATTGCCCAGTTCGCGCTTAAACTCGTCGTCGTTTCTTGTCGCGAGATCGCGTTGACGCGCCTTTTCAGCTCGCTCGATGGCTTCCAGTCTGCCTTCGTGATTTGGTTGCAGAGCCTTGACCTCGCCCAGGACGCCATCACGAGCTTGCCGGGGGTCGATGACCTTGTCCGCAGCAACTGCATTGAGCATGCTGCGACCGCTCGCAGAGCGCATGCCCTTGCCATTCTCCTTCTCGCTTTCAAGGTTCTGCTGCTTCGTCGCCTGTTCAACCAGCTCCAGCGTCTGGGCCGCCTTCTCAAGATCGTCTTGCAAATCGGCCGCGAGTTCTTCTTGCATAGTAAGCATGTCTCGCTCCTCACAGACAGTCTGCAGCTCTTGCTCCCAAATCTTGGTCCATAGTGGCTTCTCCTTAGCCAGAACGTCCTGCAACTTCTTGAGCTCTGCAGTGGCCATTGACAGATCTTTGGCTGTAGTCTCAAGTTGGCGAGGTAGGGGCCGAACTCCACGCATGACGACGTCCTTTCTGAGATCTTCCACAAGATCCTGGAGATCATCCACCCTGTTGACAATCTTCTCCGAGTCGTCCTGTAAAGCCTTCTTTCCGTTGTTGATGTAGGCGCGACCGCTATCACCGTCAAGTGAAGGCAACGCAACCTTGATAGCAGTAGATTTGACGGCACCCGCCTTTGTACGTATTGTCGCCATGCTCGCTTGTATATCCGAAACAAATGATGAATATGTCTGGCGAACAACGGCTAAATCTCGACGTAGCGCCTGCACTTCGTTGAGTTGGGTGGCCGACGTAACTGTACCTTCAGAAGGTCCACCACTTGGAATGGAGCGTGAAGCCAATAGAGCAGAGTTGCGATTGGAAGAAAGTGGCGCTGCAGATATACCAGCGAGCTCCTTACTAGTTTGCTGCTGGCGTTCTGCAACGCGTTGTATAGTCGCTTGCTGATCCTCAACAACGGTCTTTATACTCTCCACCAACTTGCTGAGACCACCAAATTTGTCATCAATATGGTTCTTTACTTCATCAAGCTGCTCTACATTCAGAACAAGGACCGCTCTGTCCTTGATGTCGCGTATGTCCTCCAATTCGTATCGTACACCGGAAACTGGGTCCTGAATATGAATCTCGGGTAGGTCGCCGTAGCGGTGGGTGTCCCAAGCGAACTTCTCGATAAAAGCTAGTTGCAGGCGAGCAGAAGAGAGTTCGGAACCATCAGCAAACACATACTTCTTAATCTTGCTCTTGTACTGAAGGAAAACAGTGAGTTCTTTCCCTTGTTGAGGCGATTGCTCTGGAATGAAATGTGAAGGTTGCGGAGATGGTGTCTTTGTTCTGTAAGAACTGTGGCGGCTCGCTGCTGGCCTAGGACTCCCGTCTTTGGCTGGTGAGCCAGGCGCAATTTCGGCTGGTTCAGACAATGGCCCGTTGAGAGTGGCGCCTAGAGCGAGTTGGTCATTTTCGGGGAATTTTGGCGCACCAATCTTGTCCTGTGGTGTCTTCTGAATGGGGCTGTCTTCTGCCCCAGACTCTTGGGGTGGCGACAGGGTTGGTGCCTTGCCTTGAGAACTCTCCTCAGAGATGCGTCTGTCGTTGTGCTGATCATAAGAAAATTTGGTTTCCACTGCTGGTCGCTGTTGGGCAGGTTGTTGGTTTGATCGCTGCCGACCGTGCAGCGTAGGTGCCCTTGTTCGGACTGCATTCATAGACTCGCGCACATCCCGACCCCTATTCGGTATGGGCGAGTTCTGAACGGGCGGAAGTGGTATTCCATTTGTACCGAGATGCTTCTGGATCTGATAGGCTGAGAATCTCCGCGAAGCCCTCCGCTCTAACTCTCCCCCTCTTTGCAATGCAGCCAGCGCATCTTCTTGTTGTGGTGGGGGTGGAGGTGGCGGGAAGTCGACGGGATAGTTGGGTTGCGGTTGTGGGGCATGTTCTGGCGGCTTGGGCATGGCATCGTCTGAGGGGTAAGGAGCGATGACGGGCGCTTGCTGGGCAGAGTTACTCGACATGGACGAGTCTGTAGAGAGCTGGCTTGCATTCGTAGAGCGGTTCGATTTCGGATTCGAGGGCAGTGAGTCGTACTTGCTTGGCGATGCTCGGCCGCCTCCTGCTACTGAGGACGAGCGTGGGGGGAGGCCGGGGCCACCAAAAGACGGACTTTCGCCCCTCGAGGGAAGTCTTTGGCTTGCTGAACGGGCTTGCTGTGCGTCCTCGACTTCACTGGAACTACCGACGCTGGCCTGTCGGGGACTACCGCCGCCGTTAAGTGAACCATCTCTTCCAGTACGCTGCCGTAACCGCTGCTGCTTCTTCTTCAGGCCATGGAGGAGGTTGATTATGATGTCTCGTATGCGAGGTAGGAAGTTGTCGAGGCTGGCCTGGGATGCTTCCTGGCTCAGGGTCTCTTCCAGTATGCCGCGCAACAGTTCCGGGACATTTCCCAGGTCGTTTGTGTCAACGCCAATGGCATTGAAGGCACGCGACGCGATGTTGAACTCATAGCCCAGACGGACATAGACGTCGGAGACCTCGCTCTCGGTGGCCGTCCCACGCGACCATAGGGTCAGTGTCTCTGGGTCGTGTCAGCGCATGCGATATTGGAAGTGGGTGGGGGCTGAATGCGCCGTAGACTGACCGAGCAGTTGCTTTGTGGCGACGAGCAGATGTGTGACGGACTTCTCGATCTGCGAGAGTTGCTGCTGGGGCTAGGATGCATGGCATGTCAGCGGGCGCGGTTGGACTATTGGGCGCGGAATGCCGAGAGGGTCAGTACGTACGTTCTTGGGCGCACGGCGTGACGATGAGGACCCCTGGGACGAGCGCATGGAAGAGGGCTCTTCGGCCATGATGGGGAGGAGGGGGGCGCAGGTATGCAGCAGCTGCAGCAGAGTGGATGGCCGAGTGACGAAGCCTGAGGGCACGACACGCTCTCTCGGTAGTGTTGGCAAGCACGTTGGGTGCACCGACGTCTGGCTGCCCGCTCCCGCCAAGGCCTGAGTGGCTGGGCTGCACGTGGCGCCGTCTCACACCCGCCACATCTCTTTTGCGCCCGCTTGACCATTCACGTGCCCATCCTGCCACACCCTGCAGACCCGGTTTTTTTCTTCTGCCATTGGGGCATGGCAGGCTATCTGCACAGCCAGATATTCCTGATAGCAGGGTACCATGGAGTTGTGTCGTCGCTGGTCGCCTTTTGATACGGAGCCCGTGCTGCAAGGCAAAAATAGAAATATCTGAAGGCCGAGGAAAAGAACACGACCAGGACAGAGGCATTATCCCAAAAAGGTCGAGCACCACGTTGCCATGTGCCTGAGACGGCCTGGGAGGCTGAAGGTCCGCAAAGAGTCGGTAGGGTCCGTTGGGTGTGTATGTAGTAGCGCATCCATCGCATCCATGAGTTGGGCAGCCACTGCAGCACTGCAGACTACTACGGCGTACTACGGGCCTACGTTGGCGCTACTCCCTGGAGCTGCTGGGGTAGTCATTGTGGGCATGCGTCTCTAGCATGGGCGAGCCGTCACGAACAGGTGTTTGCCCCGTATTTGCTTCCAGGAGCGGCATTGTCTGGTGTAGGCACGCCGGACAGCAGCGCTGGCCCTTTGGAGGTGGTGGGTTCTGGACCACGACCACGACGCCCACCACAACCATATGCTCTTGTCGGCGGGGAGAGGGTTGCAAGCACCCGACAGAGTTTGTGCATGGCCACGGTAGCCTCGCCAAAACAAGCCGGGGACAGGGCCAGCAAGCGAGGCGACAAAGCTTACGGGCACGCCGTTTGGCTGTGTGGTCGTGTGGTAGCAACGTTGGCGGTGGCAGCATTCACGGCCACCGCTGCCCCAGGCGTGGTTAGCTGCCGCATCTGTTTCATAAGTCGATCAGGCTTGGCACCTCACCGTGGACATCTGTCTCTGCATTCGGGCACAGCCTCCTATACCATCGCGACCTCAGCCGCCGGCTCTCCTTCGCATTGCTCGTCCTGCCTCTGTGCCTGCTGCCGCATTGCATTGAGTGCCCTGCGCTAACTTCGACAACTCTGACAGCCCACACCCAAGTAGAGAGTTGGAGCTGCTTGCCCTGTCCCTCCCCCCGCCCGTCGCTCTGTTCTCCCACCCACAACCACCGACACCGACACCGACGCACGCTACCGCACCGCCAACACCCGCGCCCTCCTCGCCCATCCATGTCCACTGCCGCTGCCACGACCAGCACCTCCTCCAATGCTCTGAACGCCGTCTCCACTCCCGGCAGGCAACTGAAAATGAGCACAGCTGGCAAAGCCGCTACCGACGCACAGCGAAAGCCAGGAAGCCCCAGCGAAGGTAGCCAGAGGTAACTAGTCCCTCTCCAACAGCCCCGCCCGCCCGCCTACTCCCATCGTACGCTGCTCTTCAGCTGCATATCTGCCCACGCTCCCGTCCGCCGCCCGACACCGCTACCACACGCCGGGATATCCTCGTGTGACTTGTCGGCGGTCACATGGAGCCACGGTGCGACTGCGCTGTCCACTAGACGGCCCTCGCGCCCTGTCCTCTGTCCAATTGCCTCACCTTGCCCTGCCCTATTCTCGATACATTTGCACCTGTCTGCGCCTGGCCCAATGCTGACTTGGCACCTTGTAGGAAGCAGCCGGCCAAAACGGCATGGACCCAGGGTACCAATCCCCTCACCCAGCGACCGACGAACCCTTCCCCATCCAACGGCCTCGTAAACTCCCCTAAGCCCACACCGACACCCTCGGGCGAAACTGCGTCTCCAATGCGGCACCTCAGCGATCGGATGATGTACCTGTTGGCCAACCTCACTGTAAGTGGCGGGTGCTGCTCAATCCGAAGCCGACAAACACAGCTGACGGTCATGGTTAGGGTCTTCCGGGCATCATTACGCTGAAGAATGGTGAAAAGTACTCGGGCGTGCTGTCCGGCACTTCATTGGACCCCAGCGAGCTGCGTTATGTCTTCAAGATGGTCAAGAAGTTGATGCCCGCTAGCAATGCCCAGACCAATGGCACAGGCTCCGTTTCCGACGACTACGTCGGTGCGGGTGATTACCACGTCATGTCCTTTGACATGAGCGACGTTGCCGATTTCAATGTCAACAACGTGGTGCTTGACAAGTCTAGCGCCAAGGGCCAGAACGGTATGTGTCTTGGTAACGATCTTCTCTTGCACCAAGCTGACTGTCGAAGGAACATCGGGCTTCCGCACAGACACCGATATTTCAGGCAAGATGGCCTTCCGCGAACGTGACCTTCAGAAATGGGAGCCGTCCGAGGTCGACCCAAGCCTGACTCTTGAGTCAACGGCACGGACGACTGAATGGGACCAGTTTTCCACCAACGAACGCCTGTTTGGTGTAAAGAGCAACTACGATGAGACTTTCTACACCACCACCATCAACAAGAACGACCCACAGTATGCAGAGAGGGCTGCCCGTGCTGAGAAGATTGCTCGGGAGATTGAAGGCAGCACTGCAACCAACGCGCACGTCCGCGAGGAGCGAGGAGGATATTCTGCTGCCGACGACAACGGTGACGAGGAAGACAAGTACAGTGGCGTGCGTCGAGACTTTCCGACTCTGTCAACGGGTCAACCCAACCGGTATACCCCGCCTGCGCGCCGTGCACCTTCCGCTCAGCCAACAGTGCCCGGCGCTCCGGTCGATCCTGCCATTATTTCCTCGTCTGTCGCACGGCCTGGTTCGCAGATTGCACAACGTGCCGCCAGTCCCGCTGCTCCAGCAGCCCCTGCAACGGAAGCCCCCAAGGTCCAGGAAGCCGTCAAAGAAGCACCCAAAGAAAGCATAAAGGAAACCACCAAGGAGGCCCCCAAAGAGACTTCCAAACCCGCATCAAAGCCAACAGATGTGCACAAGGCCATCACGGAGCAACTACAGAAGCCCAGCAGTACCATCAAGTCCACAGTAGCTGCCATTCCCCCTCGCAAGGCCGGACGTCCACACGATGCAACAACCAATGTGGAACATGATCTGCTAGATTCTTTCAAGCAGTTCTCAGCCGCCGAAAAACTGCGCATCTCTGATCGCCAGAGGGCTTTCGCTCGCGAAAATAAGGCAGTCAAGCTGAATGACTTGAAGAAGTTTGCGCTCAACTTCAAGCTGAGCACACCAGTGCCATCGGATTTGGTTCCTATACTTGCTAAGGACGAGACTAAGCAGCAAGCCATTGTCGACAAGGCCAACCGACAAGCGCTTGAGTTGAAGGCTTCGCCGCCTGCGAAGCCCTCGACCACCACTTCCGACCCCAAAGCTGCCCCACGGCCATCTGCTAAGCCTGAGCCTACCCAGGCTTCTCCAAGCACGAATGTCGACCGCCAACAAGCTCAGCGTCCCCGACAGGGACAGCAGCCCTACGCATCAGCTAGCATGCGGGGTTCGCACCAGAACATGAGCATCCCTCCTCGGAACCCGGGACTACTCAGCACTCGTCTACAGATGAATCATCAGCAACACAAACAACAGGGTGCAGTGCCCTACAATGGCGTTCCTCAGCCAATTCCATCTCAAGACACTCGGGTGCCCCCTACCGGTTCTTCACAGCCTTCTAGCGGCGCTCAAACACCTTCCAGCGTGTCAAGGTTCAATGTTCGTGCACATGAGTTTAAGCCAAACCCAGCAGCGAACACGTTCCAGCCTGGTGGAAACCCAAGCGCCAGCTCCAGCCCTCGACCAAACTCATCACGGCAAGAAGTTCGCAAGCCGCCTGTCACCAACTTCTTCATTGGTCAAAGACCAAATGTAAAGTCTCTGGACGGCCCAACAACCTTCAACGTTGTTGGACGTCTGGAAAAGGAGGTACAAGGCAGTGAGAAGTTGCACTCTGACATCGCGCCTCCTTACAAGACTTTCCCCACGTGGGACTTTCCTGCATCCAATTCAAACAAGGGGTATGAGCAGCTATTCGAGCACGCTCCTCCAGCAGCGCCGTTATCAGCCCCTCAACACGTAATGGCTAGCGGACCCATGCCGCATCAAATCCCTCCTCATCTCCAGGGTGCACAAGGCATGCCGCAAGGCCCAACACCTCAGCACACTCCCCGAGGCCCGCCAGTGCAGCCGCATATTGGCCAGAACCCACACCAGTTCGAGGCGCCCCACATGCAATACTCGCACTCGCAGTCATCAGTCCAGCCTTCACCGCGGCCCATGGCACCTTTCATGTATGGAGCACAACCCCAGCAAATGCCAGGCTATCCTCAGCCTGTCCAAATTCCTCAATACGGTATGAGCCCTAATGTTCAGCATGTGCCTATGCGTAACGCGCAAGGCGGACAGTTCATCCAACCCCCTGGCCCAGCAATGGGAGGGCAGATGATGACGAACCAGCCTTCAAATGGGCCTTATATGGGAATGCCAGGTAACCCTCAAATGCAAATGTACTCTCCGGCTCCTGGACCTGCATACCCACAATATCCCGGCCACATGCCTGGGCCTGGTGCCAATGGGTTCCCAAGTCCGAGACCAGGTGCTCCAATGATGAGCCACCAAGGCTCACAACAAGGTCACCACCAGCAACCTCACATGATGTACATGCAGCCCGGGGCACCAGCACCTCAAATGTACCAGATGCAGCCAGGGTCTAGTAAGTTAACTGATGGAAGAATCACGTTACAAAGCTAACATGCCTGCAGTGGCTCCGATGCGAGGACCTTACCAACAGCCATACCAGGGTGGACATTACGGCTCGCCCCAGCAGCATCCTCAGTTCCCCCAACAACATCGTGGTACACCAAGTGCAAGCTACTCCCAACCCATGATGCAGCAGCATTCGACAGGGCCCCAGGTCCCACCGGCTGGCCCCGCTAACCATGGTCCGGAAGCTGTCAACGAAGCCAAATGAAAGTCTCCAAGATGAAGCTTCGCATCTTAACTCTAGCGACATCTCCCGAAAGTTGCTGCTTGAGCTCTACGAGATGCTTCCCACACTTGTTTTACTTATTTTGCTATGCGATTAGCGTGGGTGGGTCGATATTCTCTCTAATGAGTGGCTTGACGCATAGCGACCGGCGTTGACAGGGCATGGAGGGTGCACAAAAGGATTACGGTGTGGGCAATGGCTTTGCTGGCTATGGATGTGCGGGGCGAGACAGGACACAGTGGGTGGGAAACTACCACAGTTCACTATCTTGAATGCGACCACAAAGCACTATGGGAGAGCCGAGAGGGGTGCTTTGGCTTTTCCGACTACGAGGGAGGGAGATGATCGAACAGCGAAGTGGAGGGGGCGGGGCAAGGGGAGGTGTGGTGGCGGTAGCTAGCAGAGCATGTTTTCTCCAAGACATGGTTTCCAATCAGCACATCAATGCAACTAGCTTTAATATTAATCCATCAGCTTTCCTTTCAAGGAAGTCTATCTGATCTAAATGCAGATATGCAGGTGACAAGGATCTATCAGCAGGTACACGGACCCACCCTCTAGCGTGCATCCAGGGTCCACACTCCCGCCGTTGTTCCGACACTACCCCAGACGGACGGCATCTGCTCGCCAGACTTACCGTTCCTTATACTGACTACTTCATGTCGCTCCGTACTGCATGCCGGTTCCTCATGAAGACTTCGAACTGAGCAGCATGAACGACACCGCCGCCGAACCACTGATCCCCAGTAATACCCACCATGACTTCCCTCCCGCCACGCGCAACCCATACACCAGCGACAACAATGACGACACCGAGACACACGACGACGACGAAGTCGACGAGAGCGCCCTTGTATCTCCCGGTCTCTTCATCTGGATCCTAACCATATGCGCCGGCGTCAGCGGTCTGTTATTTGGCTACGAGTATGTTTTCTCATGAATCTCTCTACACTTTTCTATCACACTCCCCAAGACTAATTCTTTCCCGTAGCACCGGCGTCATATCCTCGACCCTCGTCTCCATCGACACTGATCTCTCCTCCCGCCCGCTCACTACTCTCGATAAGAGCTTAATAACATCGTGTACTTCGTTTTTCGCGCTGCTGGCCTCGCCGCTTACGGGCGTGCTGGCGGATTCGTACGGGCGCCGGACAGTGATTTTCGTAGCAGACGTGTTGTTTGTACTTGGTGCGCTATGTCAGGCCTGGACGAGTAGTGTGGGCGGGATGATCGTGGGCAGGTCGATTGTTGGGGCTGCGGTGGGGAGCGCGTCGTTTGTTGTGCCGCTGTATATTTCGGAGCTGAGTCCGAGTCCGTTTCGGGGCAGGTTGGTGGTTGTGAGTAGTTTGTTGGTGACGGGCGGGCAGGTTGTGGCGTATGTTGTTGGGTGGCTTTTTTCGCAGCGGGTGCATGGGTGGAGGTGGATGGTTGGGTTGGGGGCATTACCGGCGGCAGTGCAGTTTGTCATGTTGTTCTTTTTGCCGGAGACGCCGCGGTATTTGGTTAAGGCTGGAAGGGTGCAGCAGGCGAGAGCGGTGCTGGGGAGGGTGTATAAGAGTGAGGAGGGTGGAGCCAAGTTGGTGGGCGCTGTGTTGAGGCGTGTGGAGAGGGAGATTGAAGAGGAAGAAGATGCAGCTGGTTTACGGGGTATGCCCGAGTCTGCCAAGTCTGGCTGGAGAGCAAAAGTAGAAAGAGCGCAAGACAACTTGTCTCAACTGATTGTCATTGGAGGAAACCGAAGGGCATTGATAATCGCTTGCATGCTCCAAGGCTTCCAACAATTATGCGGTTTCGTAAGTATCCCTCTTATCCTCAAACTCCCCTGTATACTAACCACGCCCCCAGAACTCCCTCATGTACTTCTCCGCCACAATCTTCCGCATGGTAGGCTTCTCCTCCCCAACCCTAACCTCGCTCTCCATCGCCCTCACAAACTTCCTCTTCACTCTCGTTGCCTTCCACTTCATCGACCGCATCGGCCGCCGGCGCATCCTCCTCTACTCCATCGCAATCATGATCCTCGGCCTCATCCTCTGCGCCATAGCATTCATCTACGTCGACCTGCCCGCTGCTGCCGAAGAAGAAACAGTCTTCAACAACGATGCGGCAACGAAAACATGGCCTCTTATTATTCTTGTATCCATGATTACATATGTAGCTGGTTATGCGATCGGTATGGGAAATGTACCTTGGCAGCAATCCGAGCTTTTTCCTTTATCCGTCCGTTCGCTGGGATCGGGTATTTCGACTGCGACGAACTGGGGCTCGAATACGCTGGTTGGTCTTACGTTTTTGCCTATGCTGCATCTTTTTAGTCCTGCGGGTACGTTTGCTGTGTATGCGGTTGTTTGCGGGGTTGCGTGGGGCACAGTCTGGAGGATTTACCCTGAGACGGCGGGGTTGGGACTTGAGGATGTAGGAGGGTTGTTGAGGGAAGGTTTTGGGGTTAGGGAGAGTGTGAGGGGATTTGAGGAACGGAAGAGGGAACAAGAGAGGGAAAGGAGGCGGTGATATAGAGGAGGCGTTTTAGATGACATAGAATCAAGAGTATTCAAGCAGTAATTCTTACGACATGTTTTTGTAACAACCCGAGTGCTCATCGATTCACCACAGTGCCCTCCTGACCACAATCTATTCCAAAAACAAATCCAACAACCTCGCATACTTCTCTGGAAACTGATACAAATGCCCATGTCCGGAATCCTTAAAAATATACAGCTCCGCCTTCTTCATCTTCTGCTGCATAAGCCAGCTATTCGGTGTCGGCGTCATAATATCCGTTTTCCCATTCGTAACCAGCACCTCCATGTCCAACTCCTCCATCCGCTGGAAAAACGCCGCGTCACTCACAAATGCTGCGATCGCTGCATTCTGCACTTGTGCCCCAGCTTCATCGACAAACGTCGTGCGTTGCTCACCGTCGACATGGCGCTCGAGGAGCCGGTGCCACCATGCTGCGCCCAGCGCACGACTCGTTTCAGAGGGGTAGAAGAAGAGATCGAGCATAGTATCTAGCGTTGGATCTGGCTGACTCGCCTTAATCATGACATTGGGGTCTGGCGCCACGAATCCAGTTGTATACGCTGATTGCGTGCCTGCGAGCACAAGTTTCCGTACTAGCTGCGGATACTCCAGTGTAAGGACTTGAGCTGTGAAGCCTCCCATGGAGAAACCTAGGACGTCTACTTTGCTAACGTTGATGGCGGAGAGGAAATCAGCGATTGTGGCGGCGGCGCCGCCGATGGTGGGCTGGATGGTGCCGGAACTGTGGCCGCAGCCGGAGTTGTCGAGGAGAATTAGGGAACGCGTAGATGCGATGCTGTTGAGGAGGAGGGTGTCGATGAGATCCATTGTCCCGCGGAAGTGGGTTATCCAGAGTAGAGGGAAGGGTGAGGGTGTGCCGAAGCGGCGGTAGGCAAGGGTTGTGCCTTTGACATCTATGTAGTGGGTTAGGGCTGTCTGGGCGGACATTGTTGAGGATCTGGGATATGTATTGAGGTTATTAGGGATAAAATGGTGCAGATAGTTGTAGTTGTGAACTTGTCTTTTTCGAATATGGATACCTGTTCTTATGTGTAGTATCGCGATGGTGATTACTTATCCTTGTAGCTTACAAAAACTGACTGCTCGTGATACTCTTACATGGAAGTAAGCTGGTGTTTGCCGAGTTTCTTTCCAAAGTGGTGTACTTTGATGTGTGGGCTTCGGATGTTGAGTAAACATTCGGTAGAACACTTGATTTGCGCCTTTTCAAGGAAACAAGGGTTCTAGCTCATATAATCAGTCTTGGTGCATTCATTTGTTCCCAGCGCGCCCTTGATTACTCTTTCTAATGCAGCCAAGAGGCTTAGGTGCTTAGTAAACTGCCCGAAATGGCGGTTGGTTGTTTGGATTTTGAATATCGTGCAAGATAAGTAGTCACTCTATGTGGACGGGAGCATTTTCCGCAGAGAAAGATAGAATACTTCCACCTTAACCATCCCTCTTAATCGCCATTACACTAGGACTACACATCTTTCAGAAAACATAGTCCGGTATTCTTGTTCGATAAGCATGTCGTCTTCTCTGAGGAAGCAGAACCCCACAAACTTGAACGCATTTTCGAAGCCATCATATAAAGTTGGTCGCAGCACTAGCTTGAGGTCCCATTAGTACTCCCATTCCACCATGGTATGTCTTGCGGAACAGTGAAATACCACGTCCCCAACCTCAATATCCACGGGTGTGACTCCCAATGCCCCATAGGAAAGGTCAAAGTTGTTAGCTTTGCGCATTGTTCGAACAACTCGGCTCTGCGCCAAGACGCTGTTCACGATACGCGATAGGTTATTGGGCCAGTTATGAGCGAATGAAGAGTACGGCTCGTTCAGCCAGTCCATTAAGGTAGATTGAAACAACTGTGAAGTTTCCATATCTAGCAAGGCCCACTAGTAGGGTTCCAAGTCATCCGCATAAAGATCTTTCTGATTGATGAAGTTGGCTGCTAGTAAGAGAAGACATGCTAGATTTTGTCTCAGTCGCTCTTGAGTCTGCAATGCTAGTTCTCCGTCCACAGAGTGTTGTCGCACCCCAATATCAGGGACAATATCGGCAGGATGTGACTGGTTCTGCAGTGATACATTCCAGACTTTGATGACAGACCCACAGAGCCAACCAGAGAGTTCGAGGCAACGACCATTCGGTGAATCTACAAGTGCTCCAAGGTCCATTTCTGGATACAACGAACGCGGCTGAATGAATATGTTTGCTTGTCTTCAGTCTGGCACCCACGACGGGGCCATCAGCTCATCTTCGCGAATAGATCCGAAAATTTGGAGATGGTACCAGAACTCGCTCCGCTGCAACTGTATCATGTTTTCTGCCAGGCGCTTGTATGTCTCTACCCAGATTTTGGTGTAATCGACTTCCGGAAGTATATGGAGGTGGGACGACGAGTATCTCTGATCATATCTCCCTACCGCCGTTTCTGAGCCACTGTAGTTGCGGCCCAATATACCATACAGAGCGAAAAACCGATCTCTTGGATCGCTGCATTTTGCAAATATGTGCTCCAGGAGCAAATCTGGGAGCCATGAATCGCGTTTCAACGAAGTCTCAATAGCCTTCTTGGCCACTATGTAAGGCTGGTAACTGGCGCATCGAGCTTGAGTCTTGTGTCGCTCGTCTAATTCTGGTAGAAGCGAGGTACCCTTTGCGAACCAGTTCCATGAAATCTTGTCATATCCGTAGTGCACTGTGATCTCATGGGCAAGGGTAATTTCTTGCAGGACCCAACGCCGCGTAAACCAAGGGTTGAGGAACAATTGTTGTAAGGTTGACTGCGTAGCTGCACAGTCTTTACGAAACTGATTTGGGAAGGATACAGTTTCTTTCTCTAGCTCATCGGCAACAACAATCCTCTTCAAGTGCGTGAAAGCTGCCTGTGCGTCGAATTTCCCCCCAGCGCCGAGCCAGACATGGACTTTCAAGGTAGCTCTATAGATGCTGCGCATCAGGGGCACTTGAAGCGTCTTCTCTTCCGTGTCGGCTTGATTGATACATATAGCGTCGATCCAGAGACGACGCTCTTTGTGAGGTTTTCGCAAATGGCGTAACATGGAGTCGACTTTTGCCGTAATAACGAGTGAAGGTATGCGTCCACGGGTGAAGTTCTTGAAGTAGATAAAGTGAGTAAACTTGGGGTCACCCCAACAGTATGATACAGCATCGAAGCCCTGACAAGAGATTGTGGTATCACGGGGTAATTCTTTACTGTTGTACTCGAAGTGGGCTTCGAGTGGTGCTTGGAAGTCAATTGTGGGGTACAATATCAGAATGCGGATTGCCTCTCTTGCTGAGAGGCTCTCATATACATGGTTCGGCCGTGGGTCCATTATATTTTGGAAGCGTCCCTAACATGCGTGACTTAGGGTTTCCAGAAGAGATGCTGCCGGGGTATGCGGCTAGACGGTAGCAGCCGTTGCTTACCCCGGATGTTGTAGCGTAAATACATGAGCTGTGAACGTGGGGAGTTCACACCAAGGGTATGCAATTCCTGTGAGCCATTTGACTGGCACATCTCTCATAAAGGTTTAGTGCCCATTCACGGCTCCTGATTAATAAAGCTATCTAGTGATCATACATCACTCTGGCCCAAGTAGGGCAAGGTGAATTGCGGTTATCATGGCTTTGTGCCTTGCGGAATTACAAGCCTCAACATGTGTTGGTCAAAGACTCGACAAAAGCCACTTTCTGAAGAAAGGCCGCGCGTATATGTGATCGAAGTTATCTCACCGAGCGATGTTCAACCTCCATCTCGGCCAATCACATCGCATGCTGCCGCGCTCAGCCACCCTTAACCCTGCCACTTCTGTAAGCTCCTATTATTGTCGCTGGCTGAGCGGGTGACGCGATCATCCATGCGCCTGTTTTGCCGTACGCCGGCGGTATTAACGCACAACTGTCAAATCAAGCTCAGCCGAGCGTTTCTGCTAATCAAATAAGCAAAGCCATTCCCAGGATCGTGCGGAATGAGCGCTCTGCTTAGACGGTCCAATGAGGCTCAGGCACGCGTAATGCTCTTGATTGCAGCGTGGCTCATATCGCCATGACTGCATGTGCAAGTCCAACTGACATCTGCACTTATAAATTGGGACATTCGCCAATATAAGCAGTCGCATCATTACAAATCCTTTTACCATGACAACATTACAAAAACCCGTATCCTGGACAATGCCGAACAACCAAGTAACAGTAAAGGACGTTGATGTAGTCCAAGGGAGAATATTTTGGTTACCAGCAGAGGAGGACTTGCCGAGGCAGGCGGTGAAGAGAGCACATGGCGCAGGCATTTTTGAAGGCATCTATGGGCATCCAGTTGTTATAGTTTCGAGGCCTACAGAGGACAACCACATAGCTCATTTTCAAATTGTGAGAAACATGTTCATTGTAATTCGTAGATGCCGCTAACATGCCGAAGATCACCTCACGGCAACGAAGAACGCTTGGCGACCTATATAACAAGTCAAACGAGTTCCATATGAGCCTGCACACCTCTTATCTACCAATAGCTTCATCGCCAGATCATTCACACACAGGTTTAAGAAAGACGAAAAAACGATCTTCAACTCTGCAATTAGCCAACAGCGCTCGACTGCAATTGGATTCGCACGTAAACATCCGGAACGTTTACAAAATCGACTGGTCGCTCTTGAAAGAGTACACAAATCCAGATACCCCGGACATCAAACAGTTTTATTTCGATGGTGAGTCGACAACGCGGTTGTTGGCCAAATGCGCCATCCTCACCACATACGAACCCGGTGCGCAGCATCAAACACTTTCCTTGCAAGCTCTGGAGAGCACATATGTGAGGTCTGATGTTGCAGATATGATGCCTGCACTGCAAAGATCGATCTCGGAGCCCACTTGGGTATCAGCAGATGATGTTCGAATAGTCAATGGTCGGAGGTTCTCAGAATCAGATGTTTGGTCTGCAACATCGTTTAGATATTCAGAGGCTTGTAATTCTCCGTCAGACCTTCAATCGCGAGTCGATAGGTATGAACGTCGAAGCAATTCTATTTCAGAAGCCCTAAAAGATACAGTGGGCGAAACGGAGACACATAGTCCAACGATATGGACCATGAAACACCCATTGGATTGCTTGTGGAGACACGTCACTGATGGTTTCAAAAGCACTACCATAATACGAAGCCATCTCAAGAGACGCGAGAAGAGCCAATTATGGGTGAATGCGAAGGGTGTAGTGGCAGTAATCATAGCTTCAATATAGGAATCAAACAATACTGATAATCAACAACTCTTTGTGATCATCCGATATGTTGTCCATAAGTGTCGATCCATTTGAGAGCATTAGAAGCGGTGTGGGCTTCATTTTGTGGTCTTTCGTCGTTTGTCAAGATTTTAACATAATCTTGAAGGTGCTGATAGACTATCGAGTGATCCACGCTGGGCATGTCTTGTGCGAGAGCTGTGCGAATAAAAACCCATAGTGACTCATTCTCGATGCTGAACTTAATGGCGTAATCCAGCACATCCCTCACCAGCTCTTGCCTCAGTGATGGCGCTAATCGAGGCATCAAGTACAAAAGAAAAGACCAACCAGATATGTCGCTTGGGTGTCTGCAACACCATTTTTTGACGAGTGGAGCAAATTGGTCATCTGACCCAAAACCATGGGCTTTTTGGACCAATCTACGAGCATACTGCCAAGCATGATAATTCCTAGGATGTTGCTCCCCAGATTTGCATACAGCCTCGAGCTCGTTGTTCCAAAAGACCACCTTCTGACCATCCAATGTGTCTGTCAGACCGAAAAGTATAAGGGAGTCTACAATGCGGGAGCGGTGATACCATAGGGTCGGTGACTTTGACTGACGATGGAGCGGAGATGTGAGGACGCTGTCCAGAAAATAAAGCTCTCGTAGTAAAGCCTTGTGAAATATATTCCCAGCGTGGAGTCCGTGTTCATCTTGCAGCTGGGCAAGCACACGCTTACGGTAATTTGCAGCAGTGATATGTTCGGGGTCAAAGAGAAGGATAATCTCTGTCGCCTGTATTGTCTGATTTATTGTAGAAGGATCATTACTCTGCCTCTTCCCGAAGAATAGTCCACGTGCTTCCATGTAAGCCAAGATAAGGGCTTTCTTTGATATCCCAAGTGATGAACCTTCTTGTATCAAGACACCATCTGGTGGCTGTACGGATGGAGGGAGAATTGCGATTTCAATGACTTCGTTGTCATGCTCTTGGAAGTACTCGGTCAATGATGTATAAGCCAGTTTTTGTAATTGGGATCTCTCGGAAACTTCTGAGTCCATCGTGCAGAGCTTGAACACATTGATTCGTCTGGTCAATCTTGGTGTTGACTGGAGGTGAGATTGAGTTGTTGAGCTAAGGAGGTAAGAAGAGTTGACAGGCAAGTGCAGGAAGCATGGCTACGCACGGTCCACTGCTCTAGCTTGTCACTACTAAATTCCACCGTATGACATAACGGCTTTTCGCTCATCAGGACACAACACCATGCGATGAGAGCACCCCACATAGCGATTCCTCTCCACCGCCTCCAACCATGCCGTCGCTTCTCCTGGTAGTCTTCATCCTCCAGCTGCTGCTCCATGTCATCAACACGGTTGGCAAAAACACCGTCAACGAGCTGGTAAGCCCCGCCTTGGATTGCAAACACGGGAGGACCCGGTGCTGACAAGGCTCCAGTTATGGATACTTTACAATAAGCTACCGACACCCAGTTCAGGCTCTGCAAAGCGATGCCAAATTCTGAAGAAGGAGATTGTTCAGCTCAAGCGCGAGTTGGGGAACACGTCGCCTCAGGACAACTTCTCCAAATGGGCAAAACTTGACAGACAACACAACAAGGCTGTGGCCGAGTATCAGAAACTGGGTACGTTGCAGTCGGCTGAGCAGGATTTTGTCCAACCCACGTGTGCTTACTGACGTGCTTTGCTCCAGATGGCTCCTTGCGCTCGCATCACTCGGCTTTCACGTCTGCCGTCTCGACCCTTCGCTGGCTTGGAACGCAGGGCCTACGCTTCGTCCTACAATTCTGGTTCGCGAAATCGCCCATGTTCTGGATACCGGCGGGCTGGGTTCCGTACTACGTGGAATGGATACTTAGTTTCCCACGCGCGCCATTAGGCAGTGTGAGCATAAACATATGGGGTATTGCATGCGCAAGTATGATTGCTCTTGTTGCCGAGGCAGTTGCGGCAGCATGGGTACTCATCATGCACAAGCCGACACCTGTGGCTGCAGAGAAGCAGCGCCAGAAGCAAGAAGCTATGGCATTCAGCGCCAATCAGAAACCTGCAGAGAAGAAGGAACTATAGTAGTTTTGCCTTTGTACTTGGCGTATGCCGGTGCAGATGCCACGTTTCTGGTGGTGTTCTACAAATACAAGTGTTGAAATCAATAATGTCTCCCATCAAAAGACGCAAAGTCGTCCTGGCTTTCGCTCTGACACTGCAACACGAGTGGGATGATCTTGGCAGATCGTTTGGCTTCTTCTAGGCTACAAATTGAACCCGTGATCGTGGAGGAGTAGCGAATCACCGAGTCTTCGAAAGAGCCAATGTCAAATATCAAGGATAAACGTGCACGCAAGAAGTAAGGACTGACGGCGCTGTACGGAGCAGTTGAACATGAAGCTGCGCAGTTGTACAGCAAGCTCGCGCTTGTGTCGAGAGTTCTGGGTGTGATGTTTCGGTCGTTGGTTGCGGCGAGGAATTGGAGAAAGAAAAGTTGAGAACTAGGCGCTAAGGCGTCACGGACCGACGATGATCCGCGACCCGCTTTCGGTCTCCTGCTTGCTCCGCGGCGATGACCTTGTCAACTCATAGCACGCTTCACAATTGCAGATGTACTTGCGCTCTCTTGACTACACACATACACTGTACATCTCGGCTCTTCTTGCAGTTGCTTAGGTCATGATTTGCGTTCTATTTCTCTTGCACTTGAGATGTTGAAGTGTGCCCAGCCCGTATTGGTCTGGAACGCACACGACACTGACGACACGACTAAGCCTTGCGCTTGTTACCACTAAGTCCCAGTGGGCGTTGAAGAATCCGATTCAGCACCGACCCGGTCTATTCTTCCTGACGGCGTGTCAGTCGTGAACCCCAACAGAGGGCGTTTTTTTATGGGCGTTGACTAGCTGGATACGGTAACCTTAGGCAAAGTTGCCGGTGCGAAGCCCTTGATCGCCGTTCAGGCGAGCATTCTCTCTCGAGTCTGGCCAATCATGTGCGCATAAGCCTCTGGAAAGGCCTCACAGCTCGCATCGACGCACAGATAGTGTAGTATACGAGTGCGAGGGGTAATGTTGGTATCACTATGTGCCGTGTTTTCCAAGACACGTACCAAAGTCACCCGATGCTGATGATTGAATCGTGCTCTCCTTTGGGCCGCTCAGACGACTATGACTAGAATTTAGTGACAGCGATGCTCTGCAGCTGCCCAAGGCACATGACTTTACCGACCCCACACGAGCGGCTCACTTCTTCCCCGCAATCTAGGACCAAGGCATTACGTGCAGTCATCGCACGCAGGCTGCCGCCCAGCCCTAAGCACTCAGCAAAAGCCCGTGGTTGGAATAGAGTTCTTGAGGCGTCTGGGCGAGGCAAGGTGGGGAACCATGGACACGGCAGATTGCTGGACGCGTACTACAACAAACCATGGCCCTGACGCTTTGAGAACGCCGCCCGTTTCGTGCATACCGTCTTCTCATGACGGCTGGTGCTGAGTGAAAATCTTTCGGTCCAAACCTAATCCACCCCACAGCATCCAACGCTGTCCAGACCCTAAGCGGAGCCAGCAAACGTCTGCGTCTGTGACTCGAGCCGACCAAGCGTCGGGCAGTCTGTTTGTCCGTCAGCCTGTAGGTGTTCAATTTCCATGATCCCCGTGATCCGCCAAGAGGCCGTCCAGTGCGAAAGCGACGTATTCGCTGAGACTCGGCCGGGACAGGCGCTGTGACGAAGTGGCGTCACCTCTCCGCACGATCCATACGTGTTTCTCCCAATGATGATCAGAGGATTTTCGCTATGGCGCAAGCCCTGTCCAATTCGTGGACAAGTCGCGCATTTAGCAATGTCAACTCCACATCGCTCGCCTTAACTGAATTCTCCGCCTTTTTCTGGGGTCGGTGGTCTTTTCACCGTATCGTCCCGCCTGTCCCCGTACACCGTCTCTCCTGCATCTCTCCTGCACCTCCACGCATTCGCCACTCCTCAACACCAACACCAACACCCACTGTCAAAATTCCCCTTGACAGTAGGGCTGGCGCCAGATAATGCCGTGGCCCGAACGCCAGATTCCGAGACGCCCGCGACCGCGATAAGACGCTGCTCTGCAATCTCTCATCTTCGCTCCATCTATGGCATTACTGGACACGTTATAGCCCAGTGCACGACATGACCGCCACCAACTTCGATGGAGATTTTCCCACGCGGGGCCCAGTTGTCATGGGCGTTTCGGCCGCGACGCTAGCAATATGCTCAGTATTCGTAGGCCTTCGTCTGGTGTCCAGATTTTTGGTGGTGAGAAAGCCGGGATGGGATGACTATACGATGATCCTCGCATGGGTAATTGCTTTTGGCGCCTCTTTTTCCATATGCTATGGCACGACAAAAGGATTGGGACGCAAACAAGAAAACATACCACCAGAGTGGCAGGGGTCGATGAAAAAATCATCCTATGCCTTCTCTGTACTCTATGTACGTACTCAACATTTCGCATTGAGAGTACCAGTGCTAAGATGTAGCAGAACCCCGCTCTGATGGCGACCAAGACCTCGATTCTCTTATTCTACTTGACGCTCTCCAAAACTCAGAAATTGTTTCGAAGGGCTACTATCGCAACCCTGATCGTAGTCAATGTTGGCGGACTGGCGCTAACAATTCTTAACATTCTGCAATGTCGGCCCGTTGGCGCTGCATGGGCTTCTCCAGTTCCTACTACAGCACACTGTACCAACATCGTCACAATCTACCTCTCCTCGGCACCACTGAACATCATCACCGATTTGGCCATCCTGTTCCTCCCGATGCCTATACTCACCAGCATGCGGCTGCCTAAAAAACAGAAAATTATCCTGGTCATCACATTCGGTTTCGGCATATTCGTAGCAGTTGTTGATGTCATCCGTATTGCATACCTTCAGCAAGCTCAGCGCAACACTCTCGAGGCCGCCCAACGGCAAACTACCGAATCAGGAAACGAACAAAGAAATATGGGTGATTTCGCGTGGTTTTCCTCTTTGTCGTTTATGTGGAGCGCTGTCGAAATCAACCTAGGCATAATGTGTGGCTGCGTTCCTGCCCTGAAGCCACTAGTCAGGAGATTTCTTCCCAGCTGGGTTATTGACCACACGATTCGTGACACAACAACACAAACGAGCGATGAGCATGTCCTCCATCCCGACATACTCGATTCCCGAAGGCACTCAGATCCATTGACACCCCCCGCATCCCCGCTAAGCAAACCTGGTGGAGCACGTAGGAGTGGTGGTGACGAGCCGATGGCTATGATGGATTTTCTTACGACTCCCGACATGACCGAGCTGCCGCAACTAAGAACACTGAATACCAACGCCACATTCCGCACTCAACGTCAACAAGTGACGTTCTTTGACTTTGTCAATACGGGACAAAAGAAGAACATCACCTTGCGAAGCAACCGAGAGTCGATATATCCCGTACTTATGGTGACTGTACTTTTTGCAGTTTGGGGATTTGCCTATGGATTCCTGGACGTGTTGAACTCTCGGTTCCAAGAGGTTGCCCATACCAGCGACTGGCAGTCAGTAGGCCAGCACTCTGCCTATTATGCTGGCTATTTTGTAGGGCCTTTGACCTTTGGACGACTTGTTTTCAAGATTTGGGGATTCAAAGCCTGCTACATGGTCGGATTGTCGGTCTATGCTTGTGGGGCTCTGGTATTTTGGCCGTCCGCCGTGCTGAATTCTTTTCCAGCATTCCTGATATCCAATTTCATTACCGGAGCCGGACTTTCGACCTTGGAACTCAGTGCAAATCCCTTTATAGCTCTTTGTGGGCCACCAGAGTATGCAGAGGCACGGTTGAACTTGTCGCAGGCTGTTCAAGCAGTCGGTAGCATCATCTCTCCAATTTTGGCGAAAAAGGTGCTCTTTCCCGCAAACGCTGCGAGTTTGATTGATGTGCAATGGACGTATCTCGGCATCTCGTTTTTCAACATTGCCCTTGCCGTCATCTACTTTTACGTACCACTTCCAGAGGCTACAGATGATCAACTCGAAGATGCTAGCCAGCGTACTGTGCCTCATGCACGCGAGGCTACAGTTAAGCTTGGATCCAGATCCGTCAAGGTCCTATGGATAAGTCTAGCTATGGCGGTCTTTTCGCAGTTCTGCTATGTTGGAGGCCAGGAGTCTACCTCTACTTCGTACGACGAGTATCTCGGTCGCGTCATGCCCACCATTGATACTGTATCCCAACGAGCCTACGGTCACACCGCTTTTGCTGTTTCTCGATTCCTGGCTGCATTCATCGATATCTGGGTCAAACCACGCTACAGCTTGTTGTTCTTTTACCTGGGAGCGATTGCTTTCACAGCAGCAGCAATAAACGTCTCCGGCTCCACAGGAGTAGCAATCATCGCCATGGTCATGTTCTTTGAAGGTCCAATCTTCCCCCAGATTTTCGCCCAAGGCATCCGCGGCATGGGCAAGCACACCAAAGACGCCTCTGCCCTCCTCACCTCCGCCATCAGTGGTGGCGCCGTCTTCCCACCCATCATGTTCACCATCCTCAAGACGCAAAACCCACAAGTCGCCTTCTGCGTCATCGTCGCCACCTACTCGGCCGGCGCCCTCTACCCGCTCTACCTCAACATCGTCCCCACAGCCCGCAGGCTATCGGACCCCGTGCGCGACGAGAGAACAAGACGCGAATCCGAGGCCGAGGAGAAGCAGCGGCGCGGCTCGTCGCACGTTGAGAAGCTGAGGCGATGGAGCAAGGGTAAGAAGAAGAATAGCATTTCGAAGGAGAACCAGGAATTGCCGTCTATAGAGCATCGTGAGCGCCGGAGTTGGCCGGAGGGATTGGCGCCCAGGAATGATAGTTTGGCTATTGAGCCTGTGAGGACGAATACGCCTACTACTACCAGTGGTAGTAGTACCTTGAGTATGAGGTGAAGTATCCCGTACTTCCTTCCTTGTTCCATCTTTTATCTCGTTTCCTTTTTCTACTGTCAATGTCTTACGCACGATACCATGAAGTTTTTCTCTTCTTATCTTTTCTTTGGTCCATGTAACAATAGTGCATTTTTGCATTTTGTGGCGTTTTCCCCTTCTGGTACTTTTCTTGTACTTGGATCGTTCTCCTTTTCCCTTTTTTTTACAGAGATACCATGGGAGGGATAGGGGGGGCTTCTTATTCCTGGGTCGGCATATAGGTTTACAGACTATGGTATGGGATGGGTTGGCTGATGGGTAATTCCATGGTTTATGTGCCGTGGGGAACGAATGGGTTGGATGGTTGGCCCGTCTTTTCATCGATTAGACCTGCGTGGTATGGGGTTAGTGGTTAGGGTATGCAAATTAAGAAAAGGAAAAAAGAGCAGTGGTGTTGGTTAAGAGTGCTGTGGTGTTTACTCGACGTAGTGGAGAAACGACTAATATACCTTTGGAGAGGGGTGTGTGCGATCAAGAGAGAATAGAGTGATGAAGATAAAACAAAATAAAAAAACTAGCTAGTCATTCCTTTACACCCTTTTCATTAGCGAACTAAGGAACAGTATATACTTTCTGTGCTTAATCGAGTCATGTGCTTGCTATCGTTATTTCCTATGAACAAAAAAATGCTGTAGAATTACAACGTGTCTAATGTCACAAGGAAGAAAATGAAGTAAAAACGCCATACCATGCCTTCATCCAACATGTCTATTGTTCCCTTATGCCTTTCCAACTATACAGCTTGCGCGTTGCAGTCCTACAATTCATAGACTCCAGCTAGCTCACAAAGCCAAAACGGCCGCAAAAGCAGCAGCTACGAGACCAAAGTACACAGGCTGCAGCTGCACATTTGCCGCAGACGTAGTACCACAGCACTCACGATTATACGTGACATTATTAGCGCGAGCTGCAACTTCGAATACGGAGCCATTCGTCGAACCCTCGTTGTAAAAATCGACGAGTAAGAAGTTCGGAGGGCGGCCCCAATCACCTAAAAAAGACAGACATGTTAGTTACTTTGATCTCATTCAAGATTTTCACGGGAAGAGACTTACTAGTGCAGGTGTTAGCCATAAGACCCAAACTACCGAATCCCTCTACACCATTCGTCTGCTTAATCTCAGCGACGTTTGGCACGAGGAGATTGAAGCCAGCGAAAGAAATCTCGGCGTTCAGGTTATGATTCGCCATGTACAGGATATCTCTCATTTTGTTCTCGGACATTCCCTCTGGTCTGCCGAGGTTGCAAGGGAAGTTTTGGTCGGTAGGGGAAAAGGTGGTCTCCCACATGTTGTAGAATTCCCAGAGGAGATAAGGGACGGCGTCGGTGTCATAGTTGTAGTCGATGAAGGTGATGACACGGTCGTTTTGGAGGATGAGCTCGCCGAGTGTGGGCCAGTCATTGAGTTCCATGGCTGTCTTGGGCGGCTGGTAGATGTACTTGCGGAGACCAGAGGCCTCGATTGGTTCGGCAAAGTTTTTGGCGGTGACGAGGGGTTTGCCATCTGGGGTTGTCTTGTCCCAATCTGAGTTTCCAAAGAGGATGGTGACTACGTCGAAGGGGTGGTCCTCTACCCATTCGGTGACTTGGCGGAGGTAGTCCTCAACAGTGCCGGCGTTGAGCAGGTCGCACGAGGAATGACAGTAGTAGAGAGTGCCGTTGACATAGTGAGCCGAGCCCTGAAGCATACGAATACCATCGTCAAGCTGTTGCTTTACAGAGTATTCTTGGTTGCGCGCAATATTGTTCTTGCGCGTGTAGGGTGAGTTGTGGGCACAAACTTCGGTGATGTTGGAGTATTTGCGGTCGCAGAACTCGAGGTAGTTGTTGCATGGCTGTGTGTTAGACGGCAACGCAGGAGCCGTGCCGGTACCTGTTGGCGTGATGGTCCTATTCCCTTGTCCGATGTTGGTGACAGGTTCCCCGGAGGTTATCGTGCCGTTGGATGACTGTGTGGCGCCTGATGAGGCTGAGGAGGCTGGTGATGTAATGGTCGCAAAAGTACTGCCTTCAAAATCGGAGGGTACAGTTGGGTTGGGGGCAGCATCGTCACCTGTGAGACTCCGTTGGGATCCGGATAGTGTGATAACCGATATAGATGAGCTACTTTGGCCTGCAGCAAGACCCGCAAGCCACACCAGCGAAAGAAGGGCTCCTTTCATGATCGTCGCAGGGGTTGGACGCTCTCCAACTTTATTTCGGCGACGCCTCCAAGCTCAGTAAAGGCGGTATTGGTGACGGTCCAGATGTGCAGAGAAAAAGACGAAGAACGAGGAATTGGCGAATGAATTCAGGTGCGTATAAGGCACCGTTTCAGCGGTTTTCAGGGTGAAGGGCCCGGTCGTCTTTCCTAGAGTTCCACGCAGCCCCGGGCAAGAGAAAAGGATTCAGGCTCAACAACGAATGGATTACCGAGATATGATAAACGCTGGGCGAGGAATAAAAGCCGCGCAACTGAAGGGGGGCCCTGAGGGCAGATGAGGCGATGGGCTGCAGCGATTGTTTTCCAAGCGCGCGAACGGGCCATCGGCAAGAAGCTGGGCGTGACGTCGTCATGCAATTCGAGACCTGACGGGCCTTTTTCCATTCAACGATCTGCAGTAGGCGCGCAAAGGGTCTCCTTACGACACGTCATGTATAGGCAGCGCCTGAAACGCTGGACCTTCACCAGAGCGTCTAGGTAGGGCTAGCGTATGAGAATATGGCATATTGAACCTTTATAAGCATAGTACGAAACTACGACCAAGCTTGACTATATTGATTTCTATGTTTTCCTCACTTGCTACGATTCGCCAGGTCGAATTCTTACTAGTACTAACATGTGGCTGTGGCTGTGTCTCACTCGGGGTAATGTGGCTAGCGTGGCTGAGTTGCGGTCAATATCTCCACATTCAATCCTCAACAGGGCATATGTACGCGTAACATACATCAATATAATTCAATTCGCTATTCATAAGGCCTCCTCAGTTGTTCACTCTCACACGCTAGCCCCTCCATTGCGGAAAAACTCCTCAAACCTACTCTTGCCTCGTAGCGCCTCAATCTCCCTCTGCAGCACATCGATTCGGTAATTCTTGAATGCCTTTTCAATCCTCGCCCTACTCTCTGGGTCCTTCGTAATAGCCCTTGATGCGCTCGCCGTTCCTGTCAGTAGCCCTAGCTCACCACCAAGAAACAAGCCGCCGATGGAGAAGAAGAAGTAAGCCGCTGCATCGCCCCAGCGCGACGGACCGCTGACTTGCGCCGTGATGTCGGGAATCTTCTCGGTGCGCCCATCGGCAAAACGCACTTCTACAGGCTTCTCCATGGCCCGGAACGCTTTGAAGTAAGCCAGCCGCATTGCCCGTAGACGGAATGCTGTGTAGATGCCAAGACCAAGGCCTAGTGCTGATCCGATGGTTGCGTTTCTTGTCACCTTTCCGGCCGCACTTTTGAGCGTGTCGCGATCTTGCTGTTGGAGGCTGTCCAGAATTAGTTTTGTCCTCTTCTCTGGGAACCAACAGTCTTTTTGACTTACTCATGCTGCAAGTGCTCCTCGGCCAATTTCTGCAGGTCTTTGGACTGGCGGTCGCGGAATGCTGCTAGTGATTCGGCCATGGTGTTTGTGTGTAGTTATGGATGCACCTTTTCTTTGCGGTTGATTGACTGATAGACAGGTCTTGATGATACTCAGATGACAGCTGTCATATACATATATGTTATTCAACAGTGACCAAATTTGTACGTAGTTTTGTTTTATAATAGTCGAAAAGTTCAAGATGCTTCTAGTTCGCAACCATGACATCATGCGGACTTGACGGAACCGAACCACGCCATCACCGAGCTTGCTCGCCCGAGCATATGGAACCCGCTGTCATGCACTTTAGCAAGCGGGGTACATGGTTCAGAACAGAATCGATTGGCTTCAGCTCCAGATGCTAAACCTATGTATGCTATGGTCTGGTTAAAACAGTAATTCCACCGTGGGTGTCACATTCCCATCAAACGCCATATCCACCCGGGGCTTGTCAACGCCGCGATACATGCTACGCTGCCAACAGTCGAAATATGACTGAGCGCATTCCCACCCCAAAAAACCACAAGACAGAAACCAATATGTCCTACAGCTTGGCTTGCGCCTCAGGCTCTGCTGCGCTAGCCTCTTGATTTCGAGTCACGTTACCCGTGCCAGTGCCTTCGCCAAAGAAGATGACTTCTACCGTCAGGTCGTCCCTGTATCGTCGAGAGAAGGGGCTTGGAAGCGTGAGCAGAGCACTCAGCTGATCTTGGTCCTTTCCTCCAAGTGCGTTTCGCACAAGATGGGTTGCGGCATTCTTGTCCTCGACTACGAAGCGCTCGTTCAGACTAGTCTTGGTGCCCCACTGTTGTTGGCGGATGGGCGCACGCTGACCTTCCGCTGTGTCTCCTGCCTTTTGTTCGACTGGCAGCTGCTTCTGGCTAGACCACCAGCTCTTTAGCCATGATTGAGTCTGAGAACCTTGGCCCCCTGAATTGCTCTGCGCGTCGAGCCACTGGCCAACTAAACCAACAACTTCTTCATTGGTAAGCATTTCCCATAATCCATCTGTAGCCATGACGACAAAGTCACCCTTTTCAGGCTCAATCTTGGTGGTAGTGATGATAGGTTCAGCAGTAACATAAGGTGGGGTCTTGAGTAGCGCTGATGGCGTTCGTGCAAAATAGGACTTCTTCAGTTCGGCATTCGTCTCGAGCGACCATTTGTAGTAGGCATCCCCAAAGGCGCGAGAGGGCTCCAATCCACCTAGAATACGGCCATTCCGGACTACGTTGGGCTCCCCGGGATGTTCTCGGCGTAATCGCTCTGCTTCGCTTGTCGTTCCACCAGTCTGATCCTCTGATAGAGGAGTTGCTGTCCATTTACCATTTTCGCCTCGTCGACCAAGAATAGCACGAGAGTCACCTGTACAGGCAACCCTTAAAAGCTTCGACCGGCTGTCATAGAAGGACAGGAGAGCGCATGAGCCGGATAGTGCAGGGGCAAGTAGCTCGGCAGCGGCGACCTTAGACTGGGCCTTTCGTACTTTCTTAACAGATTCGTGGACGATTTCGTTGTCTAGCTTTGTGAAGCCGGTCTTGATTGCTTTGTCGATTGCTTCAGGATTTGGAAAGTGCAGCGAAGGGTCCGCAAGGGCGGATTTGTAAGTCGTGTTGAGCTCGCGTGCGACATAAGAAATCAGCGTTTGACGGAGTTTGGCTGAAGTGACCCAGCCACTACATCTGGTTAGCACAGCATTCGTATTCTATTTGGCTCTCAGCATACCTGTGACCGTCGAATACGCCCCAGAACATCCAGTCGCTGGCAGATGCGCCATTGTCGGTAGCAGCTAGATTGGACGGGACTTCGATGATCTTCTCAGCGTGGTCGTCTTCAATAGGGTCATTGCTGGGTATTTGCACAACGTCGTATCGCACTACGCCCTGACCCCTTCCCACCAACCATGATTCTTCATTCTTCCTCAGCTTGGCCGTGGCTTGGTCCGGGTCCAGCATCTCGAGCACTTTCCTGCCATAGTCATCTGTCTCTTTTGAGATGGGCCCAGTTCCTGTGATTGTGCCCGTGTACAGCTCTCCAGGCCCCACGACGAGCGCCTTCCGCGTAGTCTCGCTATTGGCAGCACTGGTAAGGTTTCTGGCTTGGTCGGCGGGGGAATACGAATGACCCGTGGAGTCGTTGCCGTTGTATGCAAAGAAGGCCCCAGAGGCAACGGCTGCAGCCACTAGGGCACCCGTCAAAGCGCGGAACTGCATGGACGAAGTAAGGAGGGGGGAGGCACGCTGTCGGAAGGCATGGTGAGCCCGGTGGGCTAGGCCATTGCTTGGCACAAAGACGCCGACACGGGTGCGAGCGAGCTTACGCAGGCACGGGCGGCGTGCAGAGCGAAGCGCTTGAAAGGCAGCCCGCATCTGGCTGGTAGCGTGGATGGGCGTTATTGGAAGGGTAGGTGAGGTTGACAGCGACGGTAGGCTGCGAGCAGTGAAATCATGGTGCAGCGTGGGATGAACGCTTAGTCCAAGCGCTTACCCGCCGTGGGCCCAATCACGCCCTAACCGTACAAATGGCGACTAACACTGAAGCCACACTCCCGAGTACGTCATAGCCTTGCCTTTGACACACAATTCTCCAGATAACAAAATGTCTTCGCGAGCGCTACGCAGAGCCCAGCGAGAACTCGAAGAGAAACAGATTCGAGAAAAGCTAGCGCAGGACAGCCAGGATGAAGAAGAGTCAGAGGCCGAGGTGGTGGCAAGGACCGGCGCAAAACCGAGTCTGTTTGCAATGTTAGGTGACGCAGACGACGGCAATGACGAAGATGAGGAAGATGAAGACGCAGAGCATAACGTCGAATCCGATACCGGCAGTCCCGATCATCAAGAAAAACCCGAGTCTGCACCTGCTTCAAAACCATCGAAGAAGAGCAAAAAGAAGAAAAAGAAGGCAAAAGCAAAGGGCAAGGCTACCAGCACAGCCCAGAATGATGCCCCGGTCAAGAGAAGGTCGGATTTGGATGAGATCGATGAAGCTCTACTTGCGCTCAATTTGGCTGCGGACGGCCAAGCAGGTGCTGAGTTGAACCAACAAGGTGCCGTTGTCAGTGAAGAGAAGAAGCAGTTATTTTCCGCATTGAGTGTTGACACTCAACATCTGCACTCAGCCAACGAGATGAAGAAACTCTTTGGTCGAGCTGCTCTGCAGAACATTGACGACGAAGCGCGCCCCAGGCAGCGGGGCCATCAGGGTGGCATTGCAGCTGCCATTGCAGGACGCAACGCTCCCGGTGGCCGCAACCTTGCATCTCTGAGTCTGCGTAGAAACATTTTCATTCAAGGCAAGGAAGAGTGGCCGCGTGCTACATCCGGTGGTCTTGGAATGGAGATTGTTGAGAAGCGGGCAGATGGTACTGTTGAGTACAAGTTTGTGCACAATCGCATGTACCAAGACGTCCAGCGGCAATTTCAGACATGCGTTGCAAGCATGGATCCTGAGCGCATGATTGCACTCCTCCAGCACAACCGTAAGCTGGCCCGTTACCCTGACTATGTGCAATATTAACCCTCCCTGCAGCATTCCACATCTCGACATTGCTTCAGGTCTCTGAAATTGCGAAGCAGCAACGTGAGAATGCCGCTGCGTCTGATATGCTGGAACGTGCTCTCTTTACATTTGATCGCTCTGTGCACTCGACCTTTGCTGCTAATCTCGCGGCTGGCAAAGCACGGCTAGACTTTCGCCGTCCAGAAAATCGCGAATTTTGGCTTGCTGTTTGGCGTTATCTCGGTGCATTGAGCACACGTGCAACATGGCGGACGTCGTTTGAGTGGGCCAAGCTGCTACTCGCCATGAACCCCGAGCAAGATCCTTACTGTCTCCGACTTCTAATTGACCAACTGGCTTTGAGAGGTCGGGATGCTGAGGGGTTGGTCAGCATCGCTGAATCAGACCATCTACAGCGGCAATGGAAGATTCCACCAAACCTGGCCTATAGTGTTGCGCTCGCTCACGATCGCATGAAGGAACCACAGAAGGCACGGTCCGCACTCAGCATTGCCATCAAAGAGTACCCGTGGCTAGCTGCGAGGCTGTGCAAGGAGCTCGATATATCGCCAATACCTAAGCCTGTGTGGGGCAAGGAACCTAACGGCGACTACCAAGAGCTTCTCTGTCAAATGTATGTGCCAAAAGCAAAAGACTTGTGGAACACGACAGAAGGCACCACGTTACTGGTGGAGACGTGTTATGCAATCGGAGAGGAACTAGGAGCAGGCGAAGACCCGTACTTGCTTGCCCAAATACCAGAGAATGATCTCGCGAGGCATGTGATATTGTCAGACAACCAAGCACTCATGTCACTGCTAGACGTACGTGTCAAGTCTAAATATACCTCTGTGTCAGATCCACTGCCTCCAGACGACAATTTGGAGTCTTATGACGCTTCAATAAACGGTATTGCGGCAGGGCGTCCACGAGACCCGGCCGTGCGACAGCAGCTGGTGGCTGAGCTGGAGCGGTACCGGGAATACTTTGAGAGGATAGGCATCGACAGGTTGATGCAACAGGGGCTAAACGAGCACGACTTGATAGAAGCACTGGAGGAGGCAAACAGCAGTGTCGAGGAGTTTAGGACTAACACTGAGGGCTTCCAGCTGGTGCGCATGAGGCTCGCACAGGAGGGCGTACAAGTGGTGTTTGACGAGCGTGCTGCGGACCGGGGGGATGAGCCTGGATCGGAGACGGATGAGGACGAGCAATAAGCAAATGGGCACGAGCACAGGCACTCTGGCGAGACATGACGCCAGCATGGTTGTGCAGTGAGATGGTATTGCAGGTACATGTACACGTACTATATACTATGTACGTAGTATGTATGTTGTAGTATGTAGTAATGCTATGTATAGCAGACATGGCTAAGTAATTGTGCAGCCTCGCTGCGCCGCCGGCAAGCCTCTAGACATGGGGAGTGTGGCGCTGTCGAGCCAAATGAGAGACAGCCATGTCCGTGCTCGGCTCGCTAAGAAGGCTGAGAGACCCTGATGGCGCTCACGACTGTGACGTACCCAAGGATTGCTGATAGCCGCCTTTCCATATCGCCTAGGGGCCCGTTCTCTAGCCCACACGCCCGCGTCTGCATGTGCGAACATACTCTCATCGCCCTGCATCCCCTCTTGTACTTACACATCCCACACATACTACACATCGCCGCCACTTATCCTCCCCCCCCTCATCGCTCCAGTTTCCCGCCCATCTCACTTGTCGCCATGAGCGGCGTGCGTGCTCACCTCGCCAGCCGGCTCCGCAGCTCCTCCCTGTCCGCAGTCCCCCCTCCACAGCACAGTTCCAACTACTCTCACGACCTGGCCAAGATTGCGTCTTCCATCCTCTATCGCTCGCCGCTGCCTTCGGAAGAGGGGAGGCCTGTTTTCATCCTCAACGCTGCTGCCCTCCCGGACTCCCACGACGCCGATTACGACCAGCTGCTGCCCTATGTCCTTGCCCGTCTGCCCGAGGAAGACGAGTTGCTAAAAGGCTATGAATACGAAGTCGTCTTCTTTGCTGGAGACGGCGATGGCTCCGCAACCAACAAGAAGCACAGGCCGGGTTGGGGCTGGTTTCTGCAGGCCTATCACGTCCTGTCGAGGGCCATGCGCAAGAGACTTCAGCGACTATACATCGTGCACGAAAAAGCATGGGTGAGAATCCTGACCGAAATATTCTCCACCATTGTAAGCCCCAAGTTCAGGAGGAAGATATATCATTGTACGCTTGCCCATGCCATCTGCGCCTCTCCATACTGACTAGATGCAGTGTCCAGTCTCACTCAACTTGCCCGTGAAATCCCTATCGAGAACCTTCTGATTCCCCCTTCCACCTATCTCGCCGATCGTCGTGTAACTGAAAACATTTCTGCTTTCAATAGCACCGGTAGGCGGGCTTTTGGGACCCGTAATCCCTTCCCTGCTGCCAGCAATGGCAAGACCCGTTTTCCACGTGTTCTGAGAGAGACCACCACTTTCGTTCTCATGGAAGAGAATATCACTTCGGAAGGCTTGTTTCGCGTACCCCCCCACTCCAGATTGCGTGATTCGCTCAAAGAAGCGTACGACAGAGGCCAAAAGTACATCATCTGGAAAGACAACGACATCATGCTGCCAGTGCCTCCCTACCCTCATGCACAACACCAAGATGAGATACTAGCCGAGCTGCCTCCTACCGATGCATACTCAGTCTACATGGCAGCCGCACTCATCAAGGCCTGGTATGCTGCTTTGCGCCAACCAATCTTCCCCACGGAATCCTACCGGGACTTACGTCGGCTATACGGAAATGGCAAGGAGATTTTTGAGCTTGACAAGCTGACCGATCTCTTCTCGCCAAAGTCTGAATGGTCTTTGTTGCCTAGCATATCCCGTGAAATCCTTTGCCGCCACCTTCTGCCCCTCACGAGTGCAATAGCGGCACGGCATGAAGAAAACAAAATGACTGCTGAAAACTTGGCTGTCTGTTTCGCTCCAGGGCTACTCTGCGGTCCTGATCAGCTTGAAGATGCAAAAGTGTCTTCTATCATAAGGAGGGTTCTCACCCAAGCAATTGAAATGTGGACAGATGGATTGAGAGAAGCATGTGGTCAAAAAGAAGAAGCCTTTTATGCAGAGCTGAAGCTACCCAGTGATCAGAATGACTGGGAAGATCCTGTCGAGGATAGAAGAGACTCAACAGACAGTGAAGTGTCTTTGCCTGACCAGATAAAGGGCATCACGTTACTTGACAACGAGAAACCGTCGGCTTCACACGATCTGCGCCGAGGTCAACAAGACGAGCAGCCACCCCCTCTTCCACCTCGATCTCACGCGCCATCTACCAAGTCTTCTATAGATTCCATTCAACGGAAGCCTGCACCACCACTCACAGTGCCTCCGCGTTACTCTACTGTCATATCAGATGCCCCCGACGACGTTGCCGAGTCGCCCATCACCTTCGCCGCAACTACCGACGGCTTCGCTCCACCCCGTAATGATAATAACAGCACCGATCAGCCTCTAAAGCTCCCACCACGACGGGACGCCCAGTCAGATGAGAAGAAGTCTGGTATGAGCAACCCAGTTCCAGTTCTTCCTATGTCCGCTTCTGAACGCACAAAACAAGATGCGCGCTCACCAGTTTCTGCTACTTCTCCAGTGTCTCAATTCAATATTCCTAAAAGGAAGACCCTGACTGCGATGCAGATTGACAATGTTGAGAAGGCCGTCGTCGC